GATCATGACCTGAGCCGAAGGCAGATGCTTAACGACTGAGCCACCCAGGCGCCCCTGTGCCCATAATTCCTAAAGTGGCCTCTCTGATTACATCTGATCTGTAATCAATCGGGGATTTCAATATTGAATAAGGGAAATTTTATGACAAATAAACAGAAGAAAACGAGTCCCCTTTGAAAATAAGTGGGCAGACACAAAGGCTCCTATTGCATGATTCCATGTACAGAAACATCCAGAACAAGTAAAAGAATAGGGAGAGAAAGCAGCTTAGGTGTTTCCAGGGTCTGGGCTGGGGGCGAAATGGGCAGGGGGGCTTCTGGTTCGGGGACTCCTTTGAGACATGAGATATTCCAAAGCAATCTTCTGGGGTGTGGTGGCACAGCGTTGGGAATGTACTTATGCTCATCACATGTTCAGTTGAAAACAAGTAATTTTATTTAAAACAAATAATAAACAGTATAGAGAACATGAAAATGAACAATATGAACTAGAACAATATGAACCAGAGAGAAAGAACATAGGGGGAGGGGATGAAACAATCTGGCGGGGCGTCGGGGTCCGGCGATGGACCTAAGGGTAATTGTACAAGGAGCTCTCCCCGCAGGGCTGTGGGCTCTGGATGTGGCTCTGGGAGCCCTGCGGGAGCAGGAGTAGGGGCAGGGGTTGGGATAGGGGCAGGGCCAGGGGCAGGGCCAGGTGTAAGAGCAGGGCCAGGGGTAGGGCCAGGTGTAAGAGCAGGGCCAGGGGCAGGGGCAAGGGGAGGGATAGGATCAGCAGTCGTGGCAGGTGCAGGATCTAGGGCAGGACCTGGGTAAGGAGCAGGAACAGGAGCTCCGGCAGGGGCAGGGTCAGGGGCAGCAGGTCTGGCAGGGGAAGGGGCAGAAGCAGGAGCAGGAAAAGGAGCAGGAACAGGAGCTCAGGCAGGGGCAGGGGAAGGGGCAGCAGGTCTGGCAGGGGTAGGGTTATGAGCAGGAGCAGGGTCAGGGACAAGAACAGGAGCTCAGGAAGGGTCAGGGGAAGGGGCAGCGGAGTCTGGCAGGGGCAGGGAGAGGAGCAGGAGAAGGAGCAGGAACCGGAGCTCAGGCAGGGGAAGGGGCAGTGGCTCTGGCAGGGGCAGGGGAAGGGGTAGGAGGAGGATCAGGAGCTGGGTTGCAGCAGTGGCAGGTGCAGGATCCAGGGCAGGAGCTGGGTCAGGGGCAGGATCCAGGGCAGGAGCTGGGTCAGGGGCAGGAACAGTAGTAGGAGCTGGGTCAGGGGCAGGTGCCAGTTCTTCCTGGTCCACGTCAGGCTCTCCGTGGGTGGGTGCCGGGTCACCTGCCGGCTCCTGGTCTCCTCCTGAGGTCGCTGCAGGCACCACCACTCCGTCCAGAGCTGCCGATGGAGTTGGAACGGGCTCGAGCTCCTCAGGTGGTGGGGCAGCTGTGAGAGGAGAAAAGCTCACCCCGAGCCCGCTCTCTGTGGGCCTTTGCGGAGACAGAACCCAGCCCAGGGCCTCCCAGAGAAGCCGCAGCCAGGAAGGAGCCCTCCCTGGGGTGTCTCCCCGACTGCAGTCCACCCGCTGGATGCTCTGCGCCCAGTCGTTGCTCCAGACCCCACACCAGCCTCTGGGGGCTCGTCCCTGTGGGGCCAGCACCGACCCATCCCCACACACCACAAACACCCAGCCCCAGCCTTCTCACCCTCGGGCTCGGTCTCCGTGGGCTCCGGCTCCTGGACCACTGTCCGGTGACCAACCACCTGGGACAGTGGTGTGGGTGGTGTTGGAGGTCTTGCCCGGCAATCCCCAGCACTTGTTTTTGGGGATGCCTGTGGGGTCAACCCCTCCGTCAGGGAGGAGGGCATGTCCGCCAGCCGCCTCGGGAGGTCATCCGTGGCCTTCTGCAAAGACAGGGACGGGTAGCCGGCTGGAGGCATCACAGCCCTGCCCGGCCATCCTCACTGTCCTCCTGCCCAGTCCCCCTGCTGCTCCCAGATCAGACACAGACCTGTGAGTGCACAGCCCTGCACCCGGGATGCAGTGACCCATCCCTGCAGGGCGATCGGGATAAACCCTGGGTAGAAGGGGCAGCGCCCGCACACCCCATCCCACCAAGCCAGCCTTGACCTTGAACATGACCTGCCCACTGGGAATCTGACCCCTCATCAGCCTGCTCCTGCTCAGGGTGGCCCCACCCTGCATGAACCCTCTTTACACACACACACACGCACGCACACCCACAGACACACACGCACGCACACTCACACTCACAGACACTCACAGACACACACACACACGGAGGGGGGCCTGGGGCTCCACAGGCAGATCAGAGCGTGTGGGGCTGGGTGGCAGGCTCTGGGCCTCCTGGTGTCACCTTTCTGTCCTTCTGGCCAAATGGCCAGAGGCTGTGGGGAGCCCTGATTCGACATCCCCAGCGGGGGACAGCGTTTGCAGGGCGCTCTTTCTTCAGCCTGCAGCGTCCAGATTTGGGGAAGCAGCACCCGAACATGCTTTTTGTTGGAGGGTCTCCAAAGAAATGAGCTGGGCAGGGGGCTGTCTCTGGAATGTGGGTGCCTGGTTACCGGGGTTCCAAATTCTGTTGGACTCTGTTGTCAGGGAAGTGAGGTCACCACTGCCTGGGGTCCCCTTACCCAACTTCCTCCTCACACAAGATCCCCGCCCGAGGGCCCCCTACCCCGGCTGCTCAATGCTCCCCCTCCCCCCATGCCCCATCCATACAGTGACTTCCTCACAGCCCCCCCACAGCCTTCCCAAGGCCTGGGTGCAGCCGGTGTCCCCGCTGTGAGGACACCGAGCTGGCTTCAGACTGGGCTCCCCTGCGTGCCCAGGGCTGTGACCCTGGACAGACCCTGTGCCTCTCAGGGCCTCCCCAGGCTCCCCATCTGCACAGTGGGGTGTTCTGGCTTCTACTCCTAGGGACGCCATCAGGGGTAGGACCTCTACATTCATTCCGGAACTGCTATCGCAGGAGGCTGGGGCACACTGGGCAATGCAAGGAGGAGCCAGGGGCTGGGCGGGACATGGAGCACAGCTCAGAGGGGCCAGGGTCTGCTCTGGGGTCTGGGCAAAGCCACCCCCTTCTTGCCTGTTCCCAGCCCCTGTGGGAAGGTTGCAATGAACGGATTCCGACCTTGTCCCCCGGTGACGCACACTTCCAGGGGCTCCCATTAGGTTTAGGTTCAGGCCCCGGGGCCTTGTCTGCGCCCATGTGCTGGGCAGTCCCCACAGTGGTTCCCGGGCATTCCCGCATCCTGCTCACACATCCCTGTGGAATCCCCTCCCCTCCGGGGTGGATGGCCTGTGTGACCGCACTCTCAGGAAGAGAATGTGGCCAAATGCTGGGATGTCATTTCCAAGCTGATGGAGGAAAGTCTGTGACTTCTTCTGGTTCCCACTGTCGTGTGTTCATTCTCTGTCTCCTTCTCTGTTTCTGTCTCTGTCTCTGTGTCTCTCACAGGAGCAGGATCTGTGGACTCCAGGGGTGATGTGAGAAACCTCAGAAGCCTCCCTTGTCCGTGTTTCCCTCTTCTGTCCCGGTGCTCCGTTCCTTCCTAAGGCCTTGTCACCCGGACCAGAGCAGTGAATCTGGAACCTCTTCCAAATGGAGACCCGGAGGCTGCAACAAGGAGGGTCTTGGCCTTGGTCCCCAGACTAGTGGTCAGTGCTCTGCCACGTTCTGCGTACCCAGGTCCTCAGCCCCCCAAGCTCCCAGTCTGTCCTCTGCTCCAAAGGACCTCGAGGGAGTACAAAGCATTTTCCCAGGACTGGGGGCACAGGGGGTCGGGAATGGAGATCCAAGGCCAACAGGCTCTCCCACAAGCCTGTGGGACCCTAGGGACACTGCATCTCTACAGCCCAAGTGACAGAAGAGTAAGCTGAGGCCTTTGTGCTGGAGCCCCTCTGGACTTGGGGGTGGGGATCTCTTCCTGCTTCCAAGTGCCCAGGCTGGTGATGGACACCGGAACCCAGACCGTGTCCTCTCCCAGTGCCCTGGCAACCGCCCTGGGCCTCTTGGGGACCCCTGACCCTCAGCCTGGCCTGTCTCCCCTCCCCATGCTATGGATCTGGGTCCTTGCCAGGAGTCCTGATGCCCTGCCCCATGGCCCAGCTGTCTGCAACCTGTTTCTTCTTTCCCCCCTGTCACCCACCTCGCTCCCAGGGTTTCCTCCCCTTCTGACCCCCAGCTGGGCAGTCAGAGTGGTGTGTGTGTGTGGGTGTGGGGGTGGGTGTGCAGGTGCATGTGCCTCTACGTGCCTGGGGATGGCAAGGTCATGTCCCCACATGGGACGGTGTGGGTAGCTATTCCTGAGGATCTGAGGGGCTCTCACCCCCAAAGCAAACCTCATGGGAGGGTTGGGACTGGAGAGCAGCTCCTTGGACTCTGCACCCCTCATTTGTCCTGGGCCAGTCCCTGCCTCTCTTGACCCAGGTTCCCAACTGTCCCTGAGGGTCGGACATGGAAAGGCTTGAACGTGGCTGCTCCTCCAGGGGTAGGTGGGGGACAGGTGCACGCAGGCCTCCCCACCGAGAGGGCCAGCCAGGTGTGTCATGGCCAGGTGTGCACAGACGACCTGCCCACAGCTCCTGGACCATGACCCAGCCCTGCGGCAGATGTGCACGAGACCCATGGCTCCGCACCTGACCGGTCCCCCGCGTTCCCTCACCACCTCTGAGACAAGGGCTCTTCTTCGTCCTAGGGCCCGTCATCCTTCGGACAATGAGAGCAGAGGGATCCGTATGTAGAGGAGGCCGGCAGGGCGTCCCACGCAACATCGTGTGCCCATCTCTGCTTTGTCGTCTAGGCTTAGTGGCGGACCCCCACCTAGAAAGAGGCCCGCGGGGCAGGGACATTTGTCTGCCCTGTTCCCTGAATTATGGAAAATGTCTAGAAGGGGCTTCCTGTCCATGTGTGGAGTCGATGAAGCCCAGCCAGCACCTTTCAGATGTCTGAGTGCCTCTGGGGCCCCTCTGCCAGCCCCCAGGGATCCCTGCTCTGGCTCCACCCAGGATGGGAACCCCAGATGGAATCTGAAACCTCCTCACAGCCAGGAATGCGGCTTTGCCCGGGACACAGGACACCGAGGCTTGGGGCAGAGAACTCCTTCACGGTAGAGAGGAACCGCCTCAGCCCCAGGCCACCTTCCCCGTGGGCCGGCCACAGGGTCGGGGAGCGGTCCCAACAGGCCCGACTGCAACCCCGTGTGTGGGGCCTGGCCTCGTGGCATGCAGGGTCCCCAGGAGACACCTGAGGTTCGGAGAGGGGACGTGCCAGGCCCGAGACACACAGCCCGGAGGTGAGGGGGAGCCTCCGGGCAGGACGGGGGGCCCTGCTCACCTTGGCGAGTAGCAGGTGTGGGAAGGGCTGGGGAGGCTTTCCTCTGGGAGGTGCTCTGGGAGAGGGGCCACAGGAGAGGGCCTGGCCCGGCTCCACCAGCTTCCTCAGGCTGTCAGCACGGACCGCCCACTGCCTCTGGCTCGCCCCCAGCGGCAGGTCCCACTCAGGTTCACGGTGGGGCTGATCTGTGGTAAAGGAGGGACAATTCACAACACAGAAATTGCAAAACTATTTCTGTCCGTGTCCTGAAGTGCCACAGAATATCCAAATTGGTTCGGATCATCTTCCACGTATGTGAAGGGTGATTTTGTACCTGGCCAAGGCTGGGGCTGGACCGGGTGTGTGTGTCTGTGTGTGAAGGACCAGGTGTGTGTGTGTGTGTGTGTTTGAAGGACTCGGTGTGTGTGTGTGTTTGGCGTGTGTGTCTGTTTGTGTGTGTCTGTGAAGGGAGCAGCCCAGACCCCTTGGGTTGAGGTCATGGCCATGTAAGGGGCACAGCCGTCGTGGCACCCCGGGTCGTCAGTGTCCCGGATGGCGTCGGGGCAGGAGACACTCCCGGCCCTCCCCGAGCCTGGTCCTTGAGCGTCCTCGTCCCCACACTCCCCCTGAGCCCGCACCAGCCCTTACCGACTGCCTGGTGCACGTGCCCCACGCCGGGGAGCCGTTGAGGGAGGCTCCTGTTGACCAGCTTGTCCCCAATTTCTTCCATGGGGCTCTGCGAAGACAGTGAGCGGAGCCCTGCCCGGCCGTCCTCACCGTCCTCCTGCCCAGCCCCACTGCTGCCCCCAGATCAGACACAGCCCCGTGCGGGCACAGCCCTGCGCCCGGGGTGCAGTGACATGTATTGACAGGGCTCCGGATCAACCCTGGGGAGAAGGAGGCCGCCCCAGCACAGCCCGTCCCTGTGCCTTGTCAGAGGAAACCGGCCTCCCCCAGCAGCGCTGAGCTGCCTCGAGACCTGGCTCTCGTTCTCGGGCTGCCTCTCACTCTGCCAGTGGTGCCGGATCGGGTGGGAGAACTGGTGTGGAGGTGGCTCTGCTCTGGAATTCACCCCGGAGCTGCTTTTGCCTCCGGAGGGGGACTGCGTGTCGGAGCTGGAGGGTCTCTAGTCGGCGGGGCCCTGACCGCTGTGGCCTCAAGATCGGGTCAACCTTCCTCTTGTAAATTTCCACAAAAGGAAGCAGGCAGAATCCTAGAGATGTTCTTCCAGTGGTGACCCCTGTGACGCTCCTGGATCCGAGTGGTGCCAAGGTGGACTGCCTTAGGAGGTTTGCGGGCACTGGCCCGTTTGAGGTTTGGGGAATCCCTGTGAATGCCGTGACCAGTTTTTACCATCTTGATTATGGTCTTCCATAATTTTTTTTTCCAAAAGGATGATACCAAATTACTATTTTTTTATGCATGCTTTTTAAACTTTTTCTCTACTGTATCTTCTGAAAGTACCTTCCCATATATTTCTGTTTTTTTTTTTTAATTAACATAATACATTATTTGTTTCAGGGGTACAGGTCTGTGATTCACGTATTTCTGTTTTTAAGGAATTAATATTTCTAAATTTTCAGTGACTGAAAACATTTCCATGATATAGATGTACCATTTGACCAGTTCTTCACCTTTGGACATTCAGGTGTTTTTTTCCCCTTCCTCTTTCTTACTGTCTTCCTGTTACTTCATTCCTTCTTCTTTCTGTCTTCCTGTTATTTACTGGTGATAGAACTTTTGTTTTTGGGTGTCCAGAGTTATTTGTTCGCTGGGCATAGAGTTATTTTATTAAACCCTAGTGTGGACTTTGGGTAGGCTGTTGCTTGTGAGAGTGCCACTTTTTGTGTTCAGGTATGGACCCATATCTTATGTGTATCTGTCTTCCCAGCATGTAGCATTTGCCTGGTACAGTGGGTGCTCACTAAAGAATTATTGTTGAGTTCCAGAAATATAAGGGCCATGGGACAGATATTTAAGTATTTACCACGTATTTAAGGCCCTATATATAGGAATGAATAAGACAAAGATTGTCCTTGCTCTCATAAGCTGAAATACTACTCTCTACAACAAGTTTTATGTTATAAAGATGACAAGCCTCTTAATGTGAGGATCAATTAAAAAACCTTAAAGTTGGGGCACCTGGGTGGCTCAGTCGGTTAAGGGTCTGCCTTCAGCTTAGGTTTTGATCCCAGGGTCCTGGGATCAAGCCCCACATCAGGCTCCCTGCCCCTCCCCCTCCACTCCTGCTCTGTCTCTAGCTTTCTCTCTGTCAAATAAATAAAATCTTAAAAGAAAAAAAAACCCTTAAAGTCACACAATGTAGGAGAAGCAGTCTACGTGACCTATAGCGTGGTTACTTTTCATGCATGTGGCTAATTGAGGGTTGACTAATTGATTTTCCTGTAGATGATATTTCTTATTTAGGATTGTCCACTAGGGTTACTACAATGGAATGATTTTTTTCAGGTTCATACTTTTTGACCCTTTCAAGTAACTAGAATCAGTTAACTAAAATTTAAAATTTCATACCTGAACATAATATGTTATACTTAGCTATTATAGAGAACTCAACAGATCTTTTAGGATTGGGTTTGGGGGCAATAGGAAATATATCCCAAAATATTTTTGGTTTTTCTCTTGCACATTTTAAAATATGATTAAACAAAGATTGCAGCCACGGAGATTTTTTGTTGTAAATTGGTGTTTCAACACTGCCAGCCGTCCACGCTTTTTGTGGTCCCACTTATAAAAGTGGAAAGTGAAGGGTGAGTGGCTGCCCTCTTGGGCAGGCACATAATTTAAAAAAAAAAAATGTGTGTGCCCCAGCAGAGCTATATTAGAGTTTCATATAGCTGCCTTTTTCTTTTTTATTGTAGGGCCAGCTCTCAATGTTGCAAGAAAAAATAGACCATTTGGAGCGTTTGCTAGCTGAGAATAATGAGATCATCTCAAACATTAGAGACTCGGTCATCAATTTGAGTGAGTCTGTGGAGGATGGTCCAAAAAGTTCACAAGGCAATTTCAGCCAAGGTGCTGGCGCACCTCTTCTGCCATCAAAACAGTTGTCCCTTGTAGTGGACCCTGAAGACTGTTCGTTCGCTTTGCAAAGTGGAAGTCGGAATTCAGATGTGCAGGTAATGTATGCATTCGTTAATGATCATTGGGATTTTCTTGCTTTTCTTTCTTTTTTGATCTGGTGTCTGTTTTAACTTAGTAAGTTGCTTAAACTCTGGATTCTAGTTTCTGTTTTTGTAAAGTGACTGGATTAGTCACATGACCATTAAAGTTGTTTTTAGTGATAAAATTCTGTAATTCTTTATTTCCCTAATTATTTTTTTTATTATTTTATACTTTGTGATTATGGCCTTTTTGTATGCTTTTTAGGTCTTATTTTGTCTAGTAGATGAAGACTTTTAGAGGTTTGTTTAAATTTGACCAAAGAGATTTTCTTATCTTCCTATTAAGAGTATAAGAAAAGCCTTATTCTTACTATATATCTTTTATACATTATAGGTTTCACACAGTGTAGGGTTCGATACCTTCTGCTGAATATCTCTTTGTGAGAGAGGGAAGGGAAATATTCTAGAGCTGTGCTGTTCAGTATGAAAGTCACTGTCCACGTGTGGCTCCTGAGCACTTGAAATGTGGCTAGTTTGAATTGAGATGTGTTCTAAGTGTTGAAGACTTACTATGAAAACGAATACAAAATACTTTGTTTCATTTTACATATATGTGGAGATAATATTATGAGTATATTGGATTAATTTAATTAATTAATTTAAAAAATTACGGATTTGCCTTGCATTCTGTTTCTCTTGGATAGCGCTTTTCTAGAGGGTGGTGGAGTTGTAAACTAGGATAAGAAAGGACTTCTGCTTTTCTTAAATTTAAGGTGTGTCAAATGTGCTCTGTTCTGCCAGTTAGCAGAGAGCTGTGTTTAACCTGTACCTTAGACCTGAGCTCAAACTTGGTGACGAGTCTGTACTCGTCAATTAATTTAATTTAATTTAATTTAATTTTGTTGGACAAAATGGGTTGGCTCTGGCCTTGCTTTGGAGTAGATGTTTCTACTAACTTCTGGGGACAGAGAATGTGATAGGATCTTGAAGCCTGTGGCTCACAGACCAAGCCAGCAGCTGGAGACAGAGTTGGCCAAGCCTTGTGCCCATAATCTTATCAACTAGTGTGTGGTCAGGTTCCCACACTATCAGGATTCTGTGCTGTGAAGGTATATCTATTTTTGTGAGTCTTGGCTTCGTATAGGTTTTAAATAAGTACCTTTTAAAGGAGAACAACAAAACTCTTTTTGGAGGGGGTTGTTAAATCTGGGCTGGACAGAAACAGCCGTATTGCTGAAGAACCCCAGAAGGCAGGCAGAACGAGGCAGTGGGGTACAGGGCGAGCTGCAGGGCCGGAGAAAGAACCAGAAGGAATAACAGAGACTGTTAACACATCCTCCTTTCCAGCTGGTTCCCTTTATTGACTCATCCTTGGGAGCATTTTATTTTATTTATTAAAGTCATACATTCTGAAGTGAGAGATATGTTGTTGCCTTAAAATACTTTGCATTCACTTTTTACATAATTTGCTCGGTATCTTTAAGTTTCTTTGTAACCCGCTTATATATTTTATAATATATAGTGATTTTTATGTAATTAAAATTTTATATATAATTTTTACATAATTTAAATTTTACCAAAGTCAAATTTTGGTAAAATCAGTTTTGGGTTCTTTGTCACATTTAGTATTATAGAGGATATGAAAAATACCAGCTTTTAGGTTTTTTTTTTTTTTCTGCAATATTTTTTCCTTTGTGTCCAAAAAGATTATTACCTCAGACTACTACATTGGAAACATAGAGAGCATTTGAACATTTAAAAATTTCCATTTTTACATGATTATGCCTCATTCACTCAGTTGTAGTTTTAGTTTTAGAATGAAAAAGGTGAACATAACATTTGCTAAATGAAGGAACAGCTGTAGATGCATTTCCATTCAGATACAGATTTTAAAATATATGTGATTAATTGTAAAATACAGACAACTCAAAGTAAAAAAAATCATCAGTATTGCTTGTGAAAATGCTGAAATATTTGGTCATAATCACATTTCATCAAGAAATTTTTTCTTTGCTGTTTAGTTCCTATCAGTTTCCACTAAAATGTATTAGAAGAAAAGCAGGGCAAGAAGGAATTGAATGAAATTATTTTTCATTAGAAGCAGATGGAGGAGGGGCTTATTTATCAGGATAGTTAAGTAACACAGTAGCATTTTAAGAATTTGAATGGTAATTAAATGTTTTCTGCCTTAAACTGTTCAGTTAATGTCTACAGAAATAGTTTTATCTAGTAAAATACATACACAGTGACTAGCTTTGAGCAAATATTTTCCAACATTAAGTTCAAATTAAAAATGGTAATACATGGTTAAATTTACTCTTTTTTCCCCTATATTTTGTCTTTTGTATTTTTAGATGTTGGATGTTTACAGTCTAATTCCTTTTGACAATCCAGATGGTGGAGTTTGGAAACAAGGATTTGACATTAGCTATTTATTTAATGAATGGGACTCTAAGCCCCTTCAAGTCTTTGTGGTGCCTCATTCCCATAATGACCCAGGTAAAATTTACACTTCAAAAAAACTACAGGTTATTAAGCCCCTGTACACACAGAGTATTTTAACGAGAATCTGGTAGAGCTGATTTCTCAAGTTTTTGAGACACTATTTGCTGACTTGTTCCAGCAACGTATTCCTTTTATTTTGAGTTTTTATCAATTTATGTGCCATTCATGGATAGTACTTGTGCGATGTGAAATAGTAATAAACACAAGAAGGTCTTTGTTTTGGGGATGAAAAGTTGAATTCACTTAAGGTGCTGACTGTTCATCGTAGTTACTTCTTGTAAAATACTGTGTGGGAGAATTATTTTGTGTTCATAAACTGTGCACTAAAAAATGCAGAATTCTCATGGGAACGTTTGAATCTTTAAAATGGAAAAGCAATGTAAAGTGGTTAAGAGCCTTGGTCAGGTGGACATGAGTGTGGAGTCCCAACCCCATGGTGTGAGACAACTTTAGGCAAGTTACAGAATGTGAAAGTAAGTATTTTCGCGGGTAGAATCAGAATAAAGTATCTACTTTATAAGATGAGTTGTAAAAGCGTGATGCATGGCCCCGGTAACTCCTGTCATTATCATTATTGTTATTATTTCATATGACAGCTTTTGTTATTTATTGGGGCTGGAGACCTTTTCCTCCAAGGTAAGGGAGAATTGCTAAAATTACAGTGGGAAATGTGATTCAATGTATAGATTTGTTAGTGTGAGTACACTGGCACAGAGTAAATACTTCATGAATTCTGTTGCAGAATTTTTGGGGGAATGTACTTCAAAAGACTTCCTTTGAGGACTGACTTACACTTCTATTTGTTACTTTTCTCAATTTTTCCATTTCATCATTACTAATCAGAGGCACCATTATTCACCTAGTACTTTGAAGGTTTTTTTCTTTACTCCCAGCATTCATTTATCTCTGACTTATATCCTTTCCCATTGATTTATTGGCATATGTTCCCTTCTGTTTCTAAGACAGTAGAACTTGTTGCTTTAGGTCTGGATGGACACATGATTTGGTGAAGTTGTGTGTGTCTGTGTGTGCGTACACACGTGTGCTGCTTTGGATGTGAAAGGTACTCGGACAGTTTGGATGCTGAAATGTTTGAATTTCCATAAAACTTCAAAATTCAGTATGCACAGAGGTCTGAAATATGTGAAATCAATATTATTTTGGAAATTTGTGATGAGCATATGTCACACCAGCTTCCGACTTGGTTTCTTTGTCTTTGGTCTTAATGTCTTTATCTTTTCTTACAAATACCCATCCATCTTATTAACCTTTCCTCTTAAATGTTTTGCATCTTCTTCCTCCTTAAACTTAGCCTGTCCCTTCAAATCCAAACTCCGATGGCCAGGCATCATGGAAAGACTGCAGGGATCTGGAGCCAGGCAGAATGAGGCAGGCATCCTGGCTTGGCTGTATACTGGCCCCAAGTCCTTTGGGCACATTTGTGTGTCTGTCAAATGCAGATCATATGGTAGATCATCTTAAAGCAGGAGTTAGTTATCAAGTAAATACAAAAGGTGATGAAAATCACACGTAATTAAAATTCCTTTAGCTATTTACTTACTTGTATGCCAAATTAAATAGTACATTTGCATGTAGGGTATGTGTACTGAAAAACAGGTCTTTGTTTATATCTAGACTTAACAGTGAGGTGAGGTGCTCACACTTGATACGTGGGATCTGAGTTTGCCTGTAGGACTACAGATGATTGATTTTCTCTGTAAATCTCATTCACTCTGAAATATTCCCTTATTGAGTGAAATGGTGGCAGAGCCCCTGTAGTATTTAAATTGTTCTCTCCTTTCTTCTCTGCCAGTTCATTTCTTGTCTCTTAATTGGGTGTGTGATGTGATTCCATTGTATCCAGTTTCTTATAGGGTCGTCAATACACTTTGCAGTATGTCTTGCAAGTCCTCATGTGAACCCATTTCTCCAACCTTTTAGATTTTTTAAAGACTTTTATTGTCTCTTCCCCTTTTCTGCCATCCTCAGTTTCCACCAATCTCATTTCTTGTAATTCTAGAACACGCACGCTTAACTGTAATAATAAAATTTGTGGTTTACCAGGCAGTGTGCCAAATGTTTTATAAACATTGAGTGCTCAAAACAACCCTAGAAGGTGAGTGTCACTATTCCTGATGAAGGCGTTACCAACTTGTCAGACTTCCAGGGGCAGTAAGTGGCATCACAAGAATTCCTTGTTACTTTACCTGGACCTCCCACCTGAGTACACTCAAGGGACAGAGAACATGTGCCTCCTGTTCAGTCTGTCTCATTGCCTAGCCCAACACGTGGCATATAGTAATCGCTAAATAGAGATGAGGCCTTCCCGACCTTTCTCCATGCCCCTCTGAAGCTTCTTGAACCTTCCATACTTGCACACAGGCAGAGATGTCAACGTTTACAGCACTTCTGCTTTGTCTCCTCACTAGAATGCAAGCTCAGTGAGGGCTCACACTTTGTCTTATAACCAGCAGGTCACTAATGCCCAGAAGAGTCAGCAGCACATGGTACTGACTCATTCGGTTCAATAAAATAGTGAACCAGGGAATGTGATTCTGCAGACTCAGAGGAAACATTGGACCTTGACATTCACATTTCTTTAGCTTCCCTCCATCTCTTCTTCCTGTTGTCTTATTTCTGTTCCTTAAAAAAAAAAATATTTAAAATGTGCTTTGTAATTTTAAATACAAACAGCAGATGATAGGAAGCTCTTCAAGGGCAGGGATTACCTATGCCTTTGAGATTTTGTTTGCCTTAGGGGTTCCCGCTGTAGTTAATGTGTTGTTCCGTGGGGAGATTTCTCTAATCATTGGTCCTGACTGCTCTAAGTGAATCTGTCTGTTGGTATCTTAGCAACCAGAGTTGAGTCTTTTTGTCTTAGTAAAAGATGTTAATGACCCTTACCCTCAGGCCCTCCTCCACTTGAGGAAGAAATAATAGTCTGACACTGACCTTTTATTTTTTTATTTTTTAAAGATTTTATTTATTTATTTGACAGAGAGAGACAGTGAGAGAGGGAACACAAGCAGGAGGAGTGGGAGAGGGAGAAGCAGGCTTCCCGCCGAGCAGGGAGCCCGATTGGGGCTTGATCCCAGGACCCCGGGATCATGACCTGAGCCAAAGGCAGATGCTTAATGACTGAGCCACCCAGGCTCCCCCATGGACTTTTTGAAAGCGAAAGCGATAGCGATTTTTGCTACCAGGCAAAATAGAGAACAGAACCGCTCGCTGGCTTTTCTTGATAATTTTCACCGCTCCTTCACAAAAGTAGAGTTTAGGTAAGCTAAATCATTCTGTGAAGAAGTAAATCATTCAGATCATGAAGAAACCTCTTTTTCAGTGGAAGAAAAGAGATAAGTGTGTGCACAAACATTCCAAGTCAAAATGTGACTCTGTAATGGGAAATCTTTGTATAATACTCCTAAATGAATGTGCAGTTAGGCGGTTTACTTTCTAAATGAGATTTATAGAGATTTGTTTGCATTTTCTGCAGCAACAGTTTAAAACAAACTTTAGCTTAGTGGTTTGTTTCATCGGAGTTTTGTCTGTTGGGGATAGGAATGTTTGAAATAGACTTATGAAAGATTCCTATATTGAGTTCCCTAACTTTAGGAATTCTGTTGCTGTGTTTTTATATATGTAGGTGTTTTTCTTTTTGGATCGAGTTCTGATATCTCACAAGACAGATAAATTTCAAATTATGTTTCGTATTTTAATTCCTAATCATGCCTTCTTCCAGTCTATGAGGACATGTAACAATTGTCATACAGCATTTTGTATGGTTTACATGAGTTAAAACAAAATTGGAAAGGAATTGTTAAGTAAATGCTGATAACTTTGTACTGTTACGCTTTTGAAAAGTTTTGAATCATAGACCATGAAATTAAATGTTAGTTGATTGATACATGTTCATGTTATATTTAATAAGCTGATTAAAACAGCACCTTTGTATCTACAATCTTAATTCTTTCCTTCCCACTACTTAAACTGCCGAAATATTTAGTTAATTTTCCTTCAAAAAAGTCACAGTGTGTAGAGAGTAGATAAGGTATACTAAATGGAAAGTTGGACCGCATATTGTTAGTTAAGCAATTTGTAAGATGAACATTAGAAAATAATCCCCCATGTGGTATGACTCTGAATCAGAGAGACCTAGGCACAAGAGCCACAGTGGAAAATCATTTTATTTTGTGCATTTGCAGTTGTTTTACAGAGTTTTTATTGATTCAAATGAGTGAGTAGGATTTTTCACTTTTTTTTTTAAATTAAGGAAACAGAATTTTGCATTTAGCATTATATGATAATTTGAAATGAGTGTATGTACCCTTATTCTTTTTTTTTTTAAGATTTATTTATTTATTTTAGAGAGAGTGGTATAAGTGGGATGAGGGGAGAGGGAGAGAGAGTCCCAGCAGACTCCCTGCTGAGCGCAGAGCCAGACTTGGGGCTCAGTCTCACGACCCCGAGATCACAACCTGAGCCAAAATTAAGAGTCACCCTTAATCGTCTGAACCATGTAGGTGCCCCTATGTGCCCTTTTTCTTAAAAAAAAAAAAAAAAAAAAAAAAAAAAGCGAGAGAGAACAAAAACGTGAGGAAATCGCAGTGTGGCATTATTTTAAAGGTTTTCTGCTCATGTATTGTTCAGCACAATCAGAAGAAAAGAGTTCTGGTCAGCCATAGTTGGGTAACACCCAGTGGGTGAAAGCAGGGGAGACTTGCAAGTCCATCTGCCAAAGGAACCTGCTGAGTGGAAGGAGATGGTCAGGAGAGGGCCATGTCTTTGTGGGCACAGTTTGCGGAGCACTTTGTTTTGTTTAATAATTGAGGGATAAAATGAGTTCTTCGGTTTTGGCCACTGTGATGGGAAATTTGAGTTTCTGGAGCTAAAATGCATGAGGAAGAACTGAGTGAGAACTGGTATTCATTGCCTGTCTTGTATCAGGGGAGTGTTAAGTGTGTGTTGCTTCATGTAATCCATTCTGCAACCCTTAA